GCTGCTTGGCCTGCTGTGTTCATCCAGCCCTGCACCTTGTTGTCTCTTAAACAATCATACACTGACTTGAGCCTCCAGATTGGCCTAAGCATTAGCTTGTAACTGACATCTAGCTGCACACCAACAGCAATCAGACCCGCAGCAATAAAAGAACACCAAGTCCATACATCCTAAACAAAGGAGGAGGAGGAATTGACTTGTTATGTGATATAAGGCTTTGTAAAAGGCATTAGGGTGGACAAGTCCCCAGGTCCAGATGGGATCTATCCCAGATTGCTGAGGGAAGTGAGAGAGGAAATAGCTGGGGCCTTAACAGATATCTTTGCAGCATCCTTGAGCACGGGTGAGGTCCCAGAGGACTGGAGAATTGCTAAGGTTGTCCCCTTCTTTAAGAAGGGTAGCAAGGATACTCCAGGTAATTATAGACTGGTGAGCCCGACGTCAGTGGTGGGGAAGCTGCTGGGGAAGATACTGAGGGGTAGGATCTATTTACATTTGGAAGAAAATGGGCTTATTAGTGATAGGCAGCATGGTTTTGTGCAGGGAAGGTCATGTCTTACCAACTTGATAGAATTCTTTGAGGAAGTGACAAAGTTGATAGATGAGGGAAGGGCTGTAGATGTCATATACATGGACTTCAGTAAGGCATTTGATAAGGTTCCCCATGGTAGGCTGATGTAGAAAGTGAAGTCTCATGGGGTCCAGGGTGTACTGGCTAGATTGATAGAGAACTGGCTGGGCAACAGGAGACAGAGAGTTGTAGTGGAAGGGAGTTTCTCAAAATGGAGAAGTGTGACCAGTGGTGTTCCACAGGGATCCGTGTTGGGACCACTGTTGTTTGTGATTTACATAAATGATCTGGAGGAAGGTATAGATGGTCTGATTAGCAAGTTTGCAGATGACATTAAGATTGGTGGAGTAGCAGATAATGAAGGGGACTGTCAGAGAATGCAGCAGAATATAGACAGATTGGACAGTTGGACGGAGAAATGGTAGATGAAGTTCAATCCAGGCAAATGCGAGGTGATGCATTTTGGAAGCTCCAATTCAAGAATGAACTATATGGTAAATGGAAAAGCCATGAGGAAAATTGATGCACAGAGCGATCTGGGTGTTCAGGTCCATTGTACCCTGAAGGTGGCAATGCAGGTCGATAGAGTGGTCAAGAAGGCATACGGCATGCTTTCATTTATCGGACGGAGTATTGAGTACAAGAGTTGGCAGGTCATGTTGCAGTTGCATAGGACTTTGGTTCGACCACATTTGGAATACTGCGTACAGTTCTGGGTGCCACATTACCAAAAGGATGTGGATGCTTTGGAGAGGGTGCAGAAGAGGTTCACCAGGATGTTGCCTGGTATGGAGGGTGCTAGCTCTGAAGAGAGGTTGAGTAGATTAGGATTATTTACATTAGAAAGACGGAGGTTGAGGGGGGACCTGATTGAGGTCTACAAAATCATGAGAGGTATAGACAGGGTGGATAGCAAGAAGCTTTTTCCCCAGAGTGGGGAACTCAATTACTAGGGGTCACGATTTCAAGGTGAGAGGGGAAAAGTTTAAGGGAGATATGCGTGGAAAGTTCTTTACGCAGAGGGTGGTGGGTGCCCGGAACGCGTTGCCAGCAGAGGTGGTAGAGGCGGGCACGATAGCGTCATTTAAGATGTATCTAGACAGATACATGAATGGGCAGGGAGCAGAGGGATACAGATCCTTGGAAAATAGGCGACAGGTTTAGATAGAGGATCTGGATTGCCGCAGGCTTGGAGGGCCGAAGGGCCTGTTCCTGTGCTGTAATTTTCTTTGTTCTTTGTTCTCTTTGTAAACCAGAATTCTCTCCAATCCACAGAGAACAGTAGACCAGTGCACAAAAACTACTTACCAACTGATTGAGAAAAATGTCATTAATTTGTTATAACACATGTCTCAGAAGACATCTAACTGGTCATATTTCATTCTCATCACTAGTGGGATGCTGCGTTTTCAGTGAATGGGCAGGTGAGATTGTATTCAGTTGGAACTCTCCAGATGTACTCATTAAAAATAAGATGACCAACTGTAGACCATCAGCCAAAGAATATAAAGTCAAAACTGCCAAGTCACTGAGCAATTCAACCGTTAAAGCTGACAAGCCAACCGCAAATATGTCAGGCTTCCCAAAACAGATAGCATACAATGTCTCCCTTGCTTTCTTTCACCTCTGATGAGAATGGCATTACATTGGCTGCATTTCTTTTGAATGGTTTAGTGTACCAATCAGTGTTTTAAAAATGACTCACCTTCCAAATTCTGCAACACATTTAACTTATGAACTGGGGCCCTGCAAACGTGTTCCAACGTTTTTTGTTTCTGACCCATGCAAACTACTGCATCTCCAACCTTGGAGTCAGTCACTCAAGACTGAATACAGCAGCAAGTTATTTAATAATGCTGGTACTATAGTCAGTTATGACCCTAAGCCCTTTTTCCCCTAAAGCAGGGGACAGTAGATTATCATTTCTGCCCAACAAAAAGCATCAATCAATTAATTACAGCAACAAGTAATGATATATTTGGAAAAAAAACCCTTGGAATATATCTACTAAGTTCTCTTAAGCCTCTTGAACACTATCAGAAGTACTTAGAAATCCCCAAAGTAGGTATACATTAAGAAAAGCACCACTCACTGACTTAATTTCATGATAATGAACAGGCAGAAAATCAGTTTGACTAATCCAAATACTTTTGCAGCCATCTAAAAGGCAGTTATTGCTATGCTTTACCATATAAATAGAATTAAATATTTGTGTGTTACACAATATAGTGATCTAGCCAGCAATGTCCAAAACCCATGAATGAACCAAAGATGTTTAAGTAATGCTCTACACACTGGTAAAACAGAGTATGCTTCACAGAAAGATGAGTAAAATAGCCTGTCGTCAACTTATTTGATTTTAGTGATCAATTCCCAGCACACCAAGACTAGACTGTAACTAGAAGCGTCTTTGTTCATACCTTAAATCTGAGCAGCAACCCAGTCAAGCATGGGGATAGGATTTCCTCAGGTACATTCATTTAAGGTCGCAAACTAATTATGCAACACACACTATTAGTTTTGTGGTCACCAGATGCATGCATGTAGAAACATTTGAACAGAGTGACAAGATAATCAAATAAGATTTTTGAGTAAAACTAGTTCAGCATACAGGTAACAAATCTGGGATAATCCCATTGTGTCTAATCAATCACATGACCATGATTTAAAGGAGCACAACTACTTTCACACACACCACTCTGAACATAAGTACTTCCAAGGCACATCACAAGCACTGTCAAACAAAATTTGATTAGCCACAGAAGCGGATACGAAAACAGAAACAAAATCAGGTCAAAGATATAGGTCAATAAACCTTGTAGGAGAAGGCAGAAAAGAGAGAATTTCACAGCTTCAGGTCGAACTAGAGGAGGATACCACTCCCAATGGAAGAATGATGAAAATCAGATGCACAAGAGGGTAAAATTGGAGGGGTGCAGACATTTCGGAGGATTGTCCAGTAGCAGCTGGAGGAGGTCACACAATTAGAGAAGCTTTAATCAAGGTTCTTCCCTATTCCTATTTTTATGAGTGATCCCAATTGGAAACGGTTTATGACTGAAATTGTGGGGAGCAAAAACAATGCATTGAAGCCACTGCAGAACCTTGTTAACTCAGCTTAATTTGTACTTTCCAAGGAACTTGGGTGTCTCTCAGAACTAGTCTATGCACCAGCTTTATCAGCCTGCGGACATAGACGATAAACTCAGTGAGCAAAAAATACCTTGGCAAGGAGCTTGGCAGCATTTTGTAAATACTGCCAATCGATCCAAGTCCCCAGATTGTTCATAACTCGTTCTTGGATTTTCTCTTGAATCCTCTGGTACGTCTGTGCTTCTAGCTGCAGGCTTTTATTGTGATTTTCCCACTAAAAAGAATAAATGAGACAGAAAAAGGGAAGGTAAAGCTCATATACGCATTCCAAAATCCCAACATCATGGCTAAAGAGAAATTCCATGACAAGGGATTCATTCGATTTCTATTTCTTTCTTCCAAGGGGCCACTGAAGGAGGTCTGTACTCAGCACTGAGTTTTAAATGATGAGTCCAATGCTTTAAAATGGGAAAGGAAGCAGAGTGAGAATGCAAAAAATGAATGCATAAAAGAAAGGGTCAGGTGTGGACTCAAGTTGGTCTCGTTAAACAGCTGACAGTCTATGTAAACTGAATGTGATCAATAATCAGTGGAGGCTGCAGGCACCCTTAGGACCATAATTACCAACAGGTGGAAATTTCAGGATAGATGGTGGAAAGAAAAGTTACTGTTTCTAACATCCACCCAGGAAATATAATTCTTACCCTTTCAAAGTAGAATAAGTACTTTTTCAAAGCTTCTCTGGCCTGTGCCTGCTGGCTCTGGTTCACAATGTCAGGATTCTCCTTGTACCGACTGCACTCATAGTACTCGCTTCCATGGGTCTTCCAATCTCCCAGGCACATCCAGCAAAAATCTGAACAGAAATTGAAAATCTTATGAGAGTTTAGCTTGGTAAAAATTATCTTCTGGAGAAATTTCTTCACACAGAGGGTAGTTAGCCTGTGGAATTCTGTGCCACAGAGAACAGTTGATGCCCAAACACAATGTTTGAGAGGAGTTAGGTATCATTCTTAGGGGTAAAGGGATCAAAGGATACAGACAGAAAGCAGGAAAGGGGTACTGATCAGCCATTAGCATATTGAATGGCAGAACAGGCAAAGGATTGAAGGATTGAATGGCCTATTCCTAGTATTATTTTCGAACTTAATAATACCTAACATGTTTAAGGCTGGCCACTTCATTTTCCTGTCCTTCCTGTTACATGAATTATTACATGAAATTCAATGCTTCAATTCCAAAGAATAGCTAAAAAACACAACCTGGTTCAACTGCTAAATGCCTTGTCTACTGAGGAACATTCAAAATATTAAGTCCTAAGTTCAATCTATTAGCATTAACCATTGTAGTAGTAGTGGGAACACCACAACTTCTGCACTGTGAAAAAGTCTTAGTTTGTACAAACACTACACACGGTCAACCTTTGCCCACTCTGTATACCAATTTTAACCAGTCTAAACTCCTATGTTTAAAATGGAAACAACCAACATACCATCGCTGCAACAGGGAAAAACTACAAGCTTACATTATCAGCCTCTATTATAAGCGTGTACAGCAGTAACATGCAGATTTCATCTGACCTGCTCTTCTAACCACAGTATTTAGATTGCTGGTAAAGTTCAGTTTCTGGTCAATTGTAAACTCTCAGGATGGTGACAGCAGGAGATTTTGCAATGGTAATGTCACGGAGCATCGTGAAGAGATAATTAAGTTAAGTTTTCTCTTCTTTGAGATGATCATTGACTAGCACTTTCAAGACATGAATGTGACTTGCCAGTTATCAGCCCAACCCATGTCTTGTTGCATTTGGAAACAGAGTGCTTCAGTATCCAAGTTGCCATAAGTTGTAACAAACATTGTGCAACTTCATGAAAGTCCCCACTCCTTTACCTCATGATGGAAGGTTATTAGTAACTCTAAATAACAACTCTGAGGAACTCCTGAAGCAATGTCCCAGGACTGAGATGATTGCACGCCAACAATCACAACTATCCTCCTTTGTACCAGGTATGATCCTGAACTGGACACAGTTATCCCAAAGATTTCCATTAACTCCTGCTTTGCTAGGAGTTCGTGATGGCATACATGGTCAAATTCAGACTTGAGCAGCGATTTTCACATCACCTCTCAAGTTCAGATCTTTTGTCCATGTTTGGACCAGGGCTGGAATAAAGTCAGGGGTTGAGTGGCCCTAGCAAAAACTAAACTGAGCAACAATGAACACGTTTGTGCTAAGCAAATGCTGTTTTCCTAGTTCCATCAACAACTCCTTCCATCATCTTTCAGATGATCAAGGCTAGACCAAGAGGAACAGGGCAGTAATTGGCCCAATTAGATTTGCCCTCTTTTTTGCAGACAGAACATAGCTAGGCAATGTTTCCAATGTCAGTATTGCAGTTGTATTGGAATAACTTGGCTAAGACTGGGGCTAGTTCTGGAGCAAAAGTTTTCAATATTAATGCAGGACTTTGCCAACCCCTAAAATACTTGCAGTATTCGGGGCCTTTAGATGCTTCTTGATATCATGTGGGATGATCTAAACTGGCTGAAGACTAGCATTTGTGACACTGAGGGCTTCAGGAGGAGAATGATGGTATCTGGGACATGGTCTGCAAGTTATGATTCTGTGGCCCTAAAGAACCATTAGATTAGCTTTTAATTCTAGATGTATTAAACAAAAGTAAATTTCAACATTTGTGATCAAAATCCATACCAGCAGAGCCTGGGTTTCTGGATTATTAGCTCAGTGACATTAACACTATGCTGCAACCTTCCCCTAGTGTGATCAAGTAGGAAACACAAATTAAATGAAGGAAGCACAGATGTTGTAGACTGTATCAATATTAAATGCAAAAAAAGTATCAATAATATCTTACCTCCTTTTCAAATAATACCACACAATCTTACGTTCTACCAGATATGAAAATGTCTTATTTAAAAGTGGTCATTTTCATACATTTCCATTCCCACAGTAATGCTCTAGGGTATCAGACCACCAAAAAATGCCTTCTTCCTTCGTGAAATGTGAAGACACTAAAGGGAAAAGTTCCTGCTTCTGCACTACCAAATCACTTGAGGAACTGGTGCCTAATTACCTCAAATGCTTAGATCATAGCATTAATAACTGTTGTGAGTTCAATCCCCTCAGTGTCTTGGGCAGCTCAGCTCAATGGCTAGCTTTGCCGCCTCATTGTGCGAGGGACCTCAGTTTGATTCCAGCCTGAGATGACTATGAATTTTGCATATTTTCCCCATGTCTGTGTGGGTTCCTGCTGGGTGCTCAAGTTTCCTCCCACAGCCCAAGGATGTGCAGATAAGTGGATTAGCCATGGTAAAAAATCAGGGATAGGGTGAGGGTCTAGGTCTGGGTGGGATGCTCTTTGGTAGGTCAGCGCTGCCTCAATGAGTCAAATGGCTACTTTCCACACAGTAGAGATTCTATGATTCTAATTGCACCCTCTCAGCCCATGCCCGTCAACCATGAGAAATCAGTGAGTGTGGGCATGTAGTTTCAGATATACATTCTCACAGCAGAGTGTGAGAAATACAACTTTCAACATAATGTTCAAGTTTTCTACTCACCGTGCTTGCATTTTGAGCATTGCTGAAACAGAATTAGAAACATTTGATCAATATTAAAACAGGTCTACAGAACAGTGGAATATCTATGAAAATAAAATGAATTATGTATCGTTCTCTCACCATGTGATTGCACCCTCCATTTTTCTCAATGCAAATATTGCACTTCGGACACTGCAAGATTGAAAAAAATACAACTGACATAAACTCAACAGAAAATAGGTTAACATACCAAACAGCTTTATCTTTAGCAGCACTTATAACAGTGAGAAAGTACACAATTCTTACAATTTAGTTTTCTATTTGTTGAAGATTCTAATAATTTCAACTTGACCTGTCAATGCCTAGTTCAGGGAACAACTCTTGATGGACTGACCTGTTTGAGCAGTGCAATGGATGTCATTAACATTAGCTACTAGTCACTACTGACCCACACGTTTTATTTCAGATACATCATTAACATCTGTTGTATTGCATCAGTAGCTAATCTGCTGTGGGCAAGCTGACAGCTAAATATAGTGCAGCTTGACATGTACGAAAAAGCTATTCATGGATTTCCAGTGGAAATAGTATGCAATGAATTTCACAAGGGACTGGTGTTATAAATATTTTTCCCAACAATTTTTTCTCCTATCCTGGATTTTATCCCGGCAGTGCACCTCTTAGGACAGACATTTTGAAGAAGGGCCAGGGAGTTCATTCTGACATGCCAGCCAATATTTATCCTTCAATCAAGATAATTGAAACAGACAATGGGTCACTACTGCACTGTTGTTTGTGGGAGCTTGCTGTGTGCAAGTTGTCATGTTTCCAGTAATAAATGATTATAGCAGCAAAGCGTTTTGGATTGCCCTAAGGTTATGAAAAGTGCTGTAAAAATTCAAGTTTTTCTTTAATGCTGCTCACTAAAGGAAACTTGGTATGGTGCTGTGTAAATCTCCACAGGAAGGGGAGGGAAAAAAAAGGGTGAATAGAAGAAATGGCAAGCACTTCACATTTTATGGAAACTTTTGTTCTGGACACTAAAAGAAAGGTTCTTTAAAAAAATGTTCTGTTGAACATGGAGAGGGGAAAATATCCTAGCTTGAAACTATGTTTTCTACGTTACAACCATGCCTACACTTCTAAAGTACTTCACTGGTTGCAAAGCATTCTGGTTCATCCTCAGATGAAAGTCAGCATACAAATCTGTATCACTGTTCAAATGCAAGCCTTCCTTTTGCTTGTACAGTAAATGTAAGTTATGGTCTTGACTGGAATATTTGTACATACTAATTATAGAATTAGTCTGGCACAGGTGGTGGCCATTTGGCCCATCATGCCTGCATCAGCTGTTCAAATAAGTATCATTGCCTAGCGCCAATCTCCTTTTTACCCATACCCTTGCACACCTTTTCGAAGCAAATAATCATCATCCTGAATGCCTCAACAGAAACTACCTCCACTACATTTCCAGCCCATTCCATAACCTAACTACTCACCGTAGACAAGCTTTTAAATCCCCTCACATCACCCTTGCTTCTCTTGCACATTACTTTAAATGTAAGCCCTTCATTCTTGTTCCTTTGACAAGCAGGATCAGTTTCTCCTTATCTACCATATCCAGCCTGCTCATGATTCTGTAAACCTATATCGAATTTAGTCTTAGCCTTCTCTCGGAGGAGAATGGTAAATGGCAAAATAAAATAAAAATATGTAGCCCTAAGAAAACTCCAAAACAATTAGTATCAAAGACCTTGTGCTTACACTGTCTTTTCGATCCTCAGAGAATCCCAAAGCAGTTCACAGCTAATTAATTACTTCTGCAGAAGTATCGCCAGTCTTTGAAGGATAACAGCAGCAATATTCCACAAACTCAAGCAGGCTAAATCATCAGTTAAATCAGTTTTGGTAATGTTTGTTAAGCAACTTGTTAACTCAGAAGCAGCAGACATTCAGAAGTTCACCAAATCATATTGCTCCTGAACCTACTAGTGGTTAACAGTGAAAGTGCACTGATAAGCCCTACGCACATTTAATGCCCTACCGTACATACTGAACAATTAATGATTGTTAAGGCACAAAAATTGCCTGACCAAACAGTGCTATGAATTCTTTTAAAACCACCACATTAAGACCTCATTTGCAGAAAGACACCTCTGATAAATAATTTCCTGAGTACTAAAATGAAATATCTGCCCAGTTTATGTGAACAGGTTCTGGAAAATACCTAAATCTGCAATCATCAAACTTGAAATGGAAGGGCTAATTGCTGAGTCAAGCCCATTAAAACCGTAACTGGAAAAGTGAGATGACTTGGGAATGCAGTGTGCATCATGAAAGGTGTGATCTTTGTTTTACGAATGTGCAATTAAAACTACAAGAATGGTACAGCGTTAACTCAAAATAGCAAAAATCTAGATTGAAGTGCTGTAATTGCAAACTGTGCAAAGAGTGCCTTTAATGGTCTTTTATTGGGGAGAAGTTGGCAATTTGAGACTTTTATTCCTATACTGAAGACACTATTACGTGCATCATCATTAGATTCATTATCTAAATGAAATCCAACACCGTACAAATAAAAAGGAGCGTCAAAGAACACTGACCTATGCATAATGGTGTTCTGATTGCTCATCCGCATAAATGTTTACTTACAGAACATCACATTTGTATGACTGCAATGACAGCTATAAACGACAATCAGTTGTTGTACTGTCATCATTACAAGTATTAATGTTTTAATTCAGATTTGTTTAATGAACCAATTTTAATTTTCCCAAGCTACCACGATGGGATTTGAATTTATGCCTCTCAATCAGTCCTCCAGCCATGTAATCATATGGTGTAGTTCCTGGCGATGGCAGTGGCCTGCATTTTTGAACCATTTTTCCATGATGAGCAATGAAAACAGAACTGTAGCACTTTTACGCTATGATGCTGAAGGAACACGAAAACGATGATCAAAACTTGACAAGAGAATTTAGAGGAAATTATGCTCCCACAACAGCCCCTCTCTGATCCTTCTTGGGATACAGGTAAAGTCGTCAGGAGAGGCTGCGAAGTGACCTTGGTGAGTGGTTGTGGCACATCCTGCAGCTAAAGTGTGCCACAATAGATTAACAACAATTTAGTAATCCATTTAGTTTATGTGAGGTACCTGATGTATTCCAGTCAACATTTTAGTAAGGAAAGCGTGAAACTGTTGCCAGAGATTAGAAGGTGAGGCGACGGCCTAGTGGTATTACTGCTGGACTGTTAATCAGAGACCCAGGAAATGTTCCAGGAACCCAGATTCGAATTCTGCCACAACAGATGGTGGAATTTGAATTCCATAAAAATCTAGAATTAGGAGTCAAATGATGACCATGCCTGGAAAAATCTAACTAGTTCACTTATGTCCTTCAAAGGAAGGAAACTGTCATCCCTATCGATTTGGTCTACATGTGACTCCAGACCCACAGTCAATGTGGTTGATTCTGAACTGTCCTCTGGGTTGGGTAATAAATGCTGGTCTAGCCAGCGATGTCCTCATCCCATGAATGAAAGTTCTAAAAAAGAAGCTCAACTAAAGAAGGTGAAATTCACAGAGCAGTTCAATTTACATAAGAGGAACTGTGGTCGAAGTTTGTTGATAGTCTGAATTACCAAAAGTACAGTATCATCGACAGAGGGGGATTTACTTCTACAAATGCAAAAACGTCCCCACTTCCACGAATAAGGCACTAAAACAGGAATTAACACTTACCTCAAAACTACTGGTCATGGTGGTGGTGGTGGTGGAGGAAGAGAAATAAAGCCACACTGTTAGACAGGGATTACCGGAATAAGGAAGGAGTGGACCAGGGTGCCACAGAGGCAGCAATTCCTGTGGAACGCTGACAGTGGAGGGGAGAGAAAGATGCGTTTTGGTGGTGGCTTCCTGCTGGAGGTGGTGAAAAGGATGATTTTTTAAAGGTGAACACTAGTGGAGTGGAAAGTGAGCACATGGGGAACCTCAACAATTATTCTGAGAGGGAGGGCAAGGGGTGAAGTCAGAAATGCAGGAGATGGGTCAGACATAGCTGAGGGCCCTATCAACAACAGCATTTCTCCGGTACTGTGTGTTTTTTGTACTTTTTCAAAACTGTTTCACAATAGAGTCACAATTCAGTAGGCCCCTCAAAAGGGCATTAAAGTCTCAAATATATTGCTGTAGAATTACTCATGACAGACTGGGAAGTATGACACGTCCCTTCCACTCAAGGACAGTGTACGAGGTCAGTTTTAAAACCAACTAATTGCTTTTGTTTGAACCCCCAAATTTGCTGACTAACTGAATACAATTTCATACTTACTCTGGTACTGGTTAAAAAGCTGGTATCTGCAAAAGTGACAGTGAAGCATCTGGAGTGACTGATCTCTCAAAATCACAAAACTCTTCCCTGCTCTTTGGCCTTGCAAACCACTTAATTGTGTCCAACTGCTGCACTATACCCCTATGCACTATATGAAACAGGGTCTGAACAAAAGAATTATTAAACCAGTACCACAGTCAATACACAAGTGTACTATAATGATACCTCCTTACATCTTTCGTATGCGCACTGATGTAATTTGCCGTCTCAGAGTCATCAGCACATTTGGTGAGCCATTTTTTAATAGTGGTACAGTCAGTAGGAGCGTGGTACATCTGTCGACACTTGAAACTGTGAGAGAAGACATGCTGGTTAGGATTCAAGCAATTACATTGATTCCAGATTAATTTAGATAGCCAGTGCATGGAGACGTTTTTAATAGTATCTTTTTCAGGAGCTATACTGCAAAATCCAATCCAGAAATAAAACACACAAGTCATGTTGAGACTCCAATGCAGTGTTGAGCCATATGGTTGTTCTGATGATTCAGTGAAAACAAGGATCCTACTGCAGTAGTCAAACGAGGACTCAGTCATTTGCTCAGCATCATTCTTTCAACTTTCATTCTTACGTACAAAACTCTAATGTGCAAGACAGCAACAAATATACCTACAAGAATCGCAACTCACTGTACACAGATTTAAAACGCAATGGAACAAGCCACTATTACAATGCAAATTGTTTCAACTGTCCAAGCTAGACTCTCATGTAATGATCATGTATTCAAGATTTTTATGCAAATGTAACCTATTTCAGCTGACGAAAAAAACATTTTGCTTTGCATTTCAGCACATAGAATCGCTCCACATCAAAAAGAATACTGTTTCATTTCCATTAATCCAACTAACTTATCTCCTGTAAAGAAAATGCAGATATTGCTTAATGTTTAAAATTCAGAAAGAAGCTCTCAACCCAGACAAATGTTACGGCTCACAGGAGCTGCTTCCTACCACTCTGCCTTGAAGAAAACTACCACGTTATTCCAGCATTATAACAGGGCTGTTTAGAGACATTCAAGGTAATCAGACAAAGTCAGTGTGATTTTTGTGTTTAATCAACTTAATTGATGTTTTTGAAGAAATAACAGGTACTATGGATGAGGGGGGTATCAGTGGGTGTATTGTACTTGGATTTTCAGAAGACATTTGATAAAATTCCTCAAAGGTTATTATGGAAAGATGTAGACAGAAGATTGGTTATCTGAGAGCAGAGAGGTGTAAATGAGACATTTTCTGGTTGGCAAGATTATGTATGTCACTGGGACCTCAACTTCTATTAATTTATATAAACAACTTGACCGAAAAAGTGAAAGGTATAGTTGCCAAATTTGCTGATAACACCAAGATAGGTAGGATTGATTTGTGAAAATGAAATTAAGGAGGCATCAAAAACACTTAGATTGAGTGAGTGGACAAAAGATGAATATAATGTGAGAAAATGAATAAAAGCAAATATGTAATATTAATGGTGAGAGAATGCGGAGTCTGGAGATGCAGAGGGATCTGTATGCCCCAGTGCATGAATCTCAAAAGGTTGCCATACAGGTAAACAAGTAATTAAGAAAGCTAATAGAATGTTATAGTTTCAGGGGAGAACTGAACACAACAGTCAGAAGGTTACACTTCATTTATATTAGGGTATTGGTGAAACTACAGCTGGAGCACTATATACAGTACTGGCCTCTTTTTTAAAAGAAGGATGCAAACATGTTGCAAGCTACTCAGAAAAGGTTTAAGAGATGAATAGGCAGACTATCTTATGAGGAAAAGTTGGACAGGCTAGGTTTGTATTTACAAGGATTAAGAAGAGTTAAGTAACTAGATTGAAACAACATCCTGAGGGATCCTGACACGATGAATATGGAACGGCTGCTTCCTCCTATGGGAGAATCTAGAATCAGGAGTCACTGCTTAAAAATAAGAGGGCCTACTTAAGGCAGAGATGAGGAAAAGCATTTTCTCTCAGACGGTCATGAGTCTTTGAAATTCCATTCCATTTTGAGGAAGACAGTCATTGAGTATTTTTAAGGCAGAGCTGGATAGATTCTGCTGTGAGGGAGACAGGTTATCCCGGTTGACAGAAATGTGGAGTACTCAGATTAGCCTTGATCTTATTGAATAGCACAGCAGGCTCAAGGGGCCCATGGGGCCTATTCCCACTCCGAAATAACATGTTCCTCATGCTTAAATAGTTGCCCCTTAAATAGATTTATATTACCTGCCTCAAATGCTCCCATTACAATTCTCCTGCATTAACTATATCCAACATCAGAATAAGTGGATGATTTCTAATTAACTTCAATCCAGAGTGAAAATAATGACAAATAAAGAGTAGCTTTGTGCTAGTGATTCATAACCAATGATAGATCATACATGCAAATTTCCACTTGCAGTACAGTCTAAACCGAGGAGTCATAGATATATGATTATAAATCCAACACAAGATTCAGAAGAAACATTTTCAAGCCACCGAGTGCTTAGAACATGGAACTTACTATCACACAAAGTGGTTGAGGCAAATAGCACAGATGCATGTGACAGCAAACCAGATATGTAAAATAAAGGGGAAGAATGAAAAGACATATTGAGTAAGATAAGTCATATTCTCGCTGAGTGCTTCCATGGAACATAAACACCAACATTCAATAGTTGGATCACATACACTCTCATTTCACATTAAGCCTCTCAGAGCCAGTAAGATGCATTGTGTCCACACAAGCTGGAGGTGAATACAACTTCCAGCGTTGAAAGCAATTGGCTGACTGCACCAACTAGCCCAAAATTTCTTATTTTGTGCATACATAAATGATTGGTGAACGTGAAGGTATTTGGATATAACAAACACCAATTCAGAAACAGACTCTCATTTCAGCTGCTACAATACATAGGTTATTTCAAAGGGTAGTATTTTTTTTTTAAAAAGAAACTTCCCTTATACCAGTCAACTCAGTAATCCGTACCACTGCATAAACAGATCAGCGATCTCACCTCAGTGCAAGGTCAGCGGAATCACTCAAGTGTCATTGCTTCTCTGCCAACTCAAACGTCTTTTTTTTAAAAAATGTTGCCACTGTTGACTGGTACTTACGATGGCATTTAAACACAATCACAAATAACTGTTAATCACGTATAGAAAGATGCCACCTGAACATTGATATGTAAAGAAAGCTTTGCATTCACTGACAGAGGCCACCATTCCAGGCTGCACCACTGCCTACCTTTAATAAAATATCACTATTCCTTTTAAACAGGAGACCAAATTGCTCTCCTGAAGATACACTATTAGGACTCTTCTTTCTCCAAGATTACACCAGGATTATCACTGACCCACCCCCAAAAACCCTAACAAGGTTTATGAAACGTCAGTCTATCCAGAAACCATATTTAACATCCTCATGATTTAAGGGGGAAATGTCTGGTGGTTTGGCCTGCAGGTAAATTAATTCATTTAAGTTTAAAGTTGTGAGTCAAAAAAGCGAGGTACAGTTAGCAGGGAGTTCACCGAAAAGATAGACCACCCCACAGCAAAGTCTTCTTTTATTCTCAGAGCAATACAGCCCACTAGCCACTGTGTAAAATGGCATTCAATTCGTAAAAGAAAATGAAGGCTCATGTCAGAAATCTAAGCTTCGAGTATGAACTGTCCCAAGAATTTCTTGTTCTAAAATTCTGAAATGGCTTCACTTCTCGCCCTCTTTCCATTATCACCCAAATACTTGAACAGCTTCACAGCTGAATACAATTCAGTCTCAACACAGAATAATTACAGATCACTATAGAGATTAGGATTGAAGTTCAAGGCTGCCAGAAGATGCATTCCTGCAAGAGCATGAATTGAGTGCAAATTACAGAACTTCAACTGATAGAATTCCAAGGCACTTAGCTTGTTACTAAAGCTTCAAGTTTAGTCAAAGACAAACTATTAGAATGAATGATATGGAAGAGGTTTATAGTGAAATTTGAGTGTTTTCTTTGGAGTGGGGCGTGTAATTGCAATCTTAAACCTTACGTTGAAATCCAGCCTACATGGTTGGATGAATCACAATCTGTTGGCTCAGTTAAATTCATTTCTTAGGTAGCGTGTCAACAGCAACAAAACTCTCTTGTACTCAGCACAAATCTCACTGTACGTTTGAGGTATCAAACTAGTGCTGTACAGGGTGCTGTCTGACTTGGAGGCTGAAGGATAATGTTCAGGGGAACCTTTTCAGTGGATCGTGACCCAAGTGCTTTGGAAAGTTGAAGGCTTTCATATCCCACCACAATGAGCGTAATGTAATGAACGACGCTCAACACTTTTCCTTTCTTGACTTCAACCATCTGAGTGAGAGGTGAATTGGAATTTCCTGCATGTAACATTAGGAAAATCAGAAAGCATTGTTATCAGGATCCACGAATAAAAAATGCTCTTGCCATCAACTCAATTCATTTGCTATTAATCTAGCCTATACAAATACAATCAGATAGCACATAATCGCCCTGATTTGAGCAAAAGCTGAGCTTTAAACACATATCCTAGTGATGACTAAGACTGTTTAGCTCCACGTGAATGCTCATTTCTGCCATTAACTTATCCCTCACTTCTGCCAAAGTTAAAGCCACCCTCATCGTCTGGGCCTTCTACTCTGCTGTGCCAAGCCCCCACTCACCGTCCATTTTTGTCCACCTTCCTCAAACTTATCTGCTACTCTACCGTTAAAGCTGTCACAGAACATCCCCTTCAAACCTTTACCTTCTATTTTACAGGAAGCTTCCCTAAACTACTTAGTGATATTCAGGAGGTACTGAGGGAAAACAACGATAATCAGGTCCATGGAGATATAAAACTAACTCAACCCAACTTATTCAGAACAATTAAAAGGTTAGAGAATTTTTCAGTGTAAATCATATATCCCTTATTTTAAAAATTAAATACTTAAAAAATCTGTATCACACAAGAGTCAGAAGTAAATATACAATAAAACCTTAAATAGTAGTGAGTGATAGGTGAAAGAAATGTCAATCATTGTCTGCAATAGCAAGATCCAGTTATAAAATGAATTGCTTATGGCATTAAAATAAAACAATGAATTGTGGATAATGGAGATCTGAACCAGAAATTGCTGGTGAAACTCAGCAGGTCTGGCAGCATCTATGGAAAGAAAGCAGAGTTGATGTTTCAAGTCCCACAAGTCTTCATCAGGACTCAACTTCTCCAGCAATTTTTTTTTTAGCATTATTGGTTCAGACAAGAATTCCACCCAAGGTACCAAAGGAACACAAGGAACTGCTAAGCTTCAAAACATGCATTGAGATTTTAAACATCCACCTACATCACAAAGCAGGTAACCAGAATCCTTAGTTTCAAGAAGGGCATCAGTCTTTGTTCATCAGAGGTACATTTCTATGTCAGACACTTACCAGAAGACTTCATTACAACGGCTACACTGTACTCGCCGAGCCTTAGGTTCCTGTACCTGGATCACCATTGGACAATCAGCACCAGGGCACAGCTGCAGCTGATAATGGCTCTATTTTAAGAACAACAGTTATAAAGACAAAGAAGCATGAGGCTTTTAGATTCTATAATAGCAACTTGCATTTATATTGCAGTTTTAACATAGGAAAGCAACCTTCTCAGTGATGCAATCGATCAATATAGTGACACAGATTGTCTCTTTGATAAACCAGACCAACTGAATTCATTCAGGTACAAAAAAGAACAATTCGCATTAACATAGCACCTTGGCTCATCTTTTAAACATCTCAAAGTACTTCCTATACAATTCATAACTTACAATTGCTGGGACTTCCTGTTAAGGGAAAAACAAGTATTTTGCACTCAGCAAGACTGAACAAAAATAAAATAATATTTTGGCAGTATTGAAGGGACAAATTTTGCAAAACACATTGGCAGAACATCCTGCCTCTCAATAAACTAAACTATGGCAACAGCATCCAAGAGCAAAGCATGAACAAAGACATCCAATCTCTCCCCACTGTAAACAGAAGAAATCCATGAAGCAAGCCTCAATCAGCATAAGACTGCTCAACAGTCAGTTTTAGAACAAAAGCCTTTTCATGTGCAGTTCTCTGTTACATTTCATTGACAGCATTATCTGAACTGAAAAGTGTTTGTGCGACAAATCTCTATACTTGGCCACAGCAACAATCATTGGTACTGAACTCAAAAATTAAAGGAGCATGAGGTTCTCAAGCCTCTTCTGCCACTCAATGAGATCATGGCTAATCCAATTGAGGCCTCAACTCCACATTCCCTCACTTTCTTGTTGGTCAAGCAGCTAACTTAGCCTTAAAAGTATTCAACGACCCTAAACCTCAAGGTTCTTCAGAGAAGTACTTGTATAAGAGAGAAAAAAAAAGGAAAATGTAAGACATATTACCTGCAGGCAGTGTGCAATAAGGCTCTGCAGCTGTGGAATTCAAGGGAGTGGCAGACATTTTGAAGTACTTAAGCAGAAAATGAGGTGTTGCTCCTCAAGCATGCATTGAGCTTCATTGAAATATTGCAGCAGGCGGAGGACAGAATTTAAAGCAGACTGCTCCGTCAGTAACAAATGAAAGGGTAAAGTTTCCAGTGTCCTACAGGACTATAGGGCTGCTCCCTCATTAAAGAGGGAAACAACTGATGGGTGAGGTCACCAAGTCTCAGGTAAGGGAGAAAGAGGTGAAGAATGAGCATCCTTCATGGAACTGAACCCATATGGTTAGCATCAGTGCCTTGCAAACCAGCCCTCCAGCCAACAGAGCTAGTTGACCCCAGCAGCAAATACAGTAAGACTAGACTGAAAGAAATACAATAAAACACTTCTTCACCTGGAAGGTGTATTTGGGACCTTGGACAGTGAGCAAGGTGGAGATGAATAGGTGAGTGTTGCACCTTCTGTGATTGCATGGGGGTAGCAAAGGAATGTTGGGAGTGACGGAGAAGTGGACCAGGGTGTCAAAGAGAGAATGGGTCTCTGCAGAATGCTGAGCATGGAGAGAAAGGTGTGTTTGGTGATGGTATCCTGCAAGAGATGGTAAAAATGGCAGAGGATGATCCTTTGAAAGTGAAGATGAGTGGTGTGGAAAGTGACAATGAGGGGAACATTATCGCTGTTCTAGGATGGAAGGGAAGGTTGAGGGCCTAAGTGTAGGAGATAGGTGGACACTGCTGATGGCCGTGTTAATTACAGTGAAAGGTGGGGGGGGTGGTGAAAGAGAGAGAGCTAGAGAGAAAAGAATTCTTGGTTGAGAAAAAAAAGAGAGATCATGTCAGAGGCACCACAGTAGAAGGTGGGATCATCAGAATAGATGCAACAGAGATGGAGAAACCAGGAGAAGGGAATGAATTCTTGCGGGAAGTAGAGTAGGAAGTGTAGTCAAGGTGGCTGAGGGAGTCGATGGGTTTACAGTTGATATTGGTAGACAGCGTGTCCTCAGAAATGGAAGCAAACAAGTCAAGGAGTGTGGAAAGTGCCTGTGTGTGCTTACGAGATTAACTTAATGCAGGTGAGAGAAGAGATACATCGGAGAAACATTTGCAGGTGATGGTCTGACTAGGACTGAAACAGGCAATGTTCCACATACCCACTAACAGAAAGGCATAGCTCTTCATCAAGAAGTGCTGACTCAACATGGGCCACCTTAATTTCTCTGCTCCCCTCACCCAGTCTAAACGGTCTTCCTCTAAACTTGCTGCACACTGTTTTCTCAGGTCCAATCCAAACCTGTTATTGTTCCCTGGTCTGCTGACCTCTATCCGGCATAGGTTGAGCACCAACTCTCTGGCAATTCCTCTCATCTCCACCTTGGATTCTGACCTTACCATTGATATCAAACTGTTGCTTCCAAGTCTGTGCTGATCTCATCTCTGGACATCTCCCCTCCATAGTTTCGACTT